ACTCCCTGCCAGCTCCCAGATCAGCTGCTCTCATTGGTTGATGTCCAGCAGCTAAAGTTCAATTTTTCCATCTGGAGCAGCAGTGCGTTTGCGGCGCGTTGCGCGCGTCAGATGCATGAAAGCGCTGCGGGACCTTTTGCGCCTTGACGCGCGTCAACCGTTGACTTTGCATGTAAACTCACTGCTCCTACTGCGCCTGGTGTGAACGCAGCATTATTGGGCGTTTTTAAGTGGTTATACGGAAATTCACAAGCCTTTCTAGTGGGTCTAGCGTATACCCGTGCATCACATAGACTACACCACTGGTCAGAACCGAACCCGAGCTGGCCTCCTGACTGCGGCAGGCGTCTGACCTGGACCGGGAGGCGGATCTTTGACGTGACGCTGCTCCCGGACTCAGACTCTTCCTGAATCTCCAGATCTTCCCAGCCTGTTGCAGCCGTCAGCACGGCTCCAGCGGACTCGGCCAGCAGGGCGGCGGCGAACCTCTCCGTCAGCCCCTGTGGAAGCACAGCTTCAGTTTGCATCCTCCGCTACAGGGAACCAACCAGCACTTCATCACTCTGACCTTAGCAAGGGCGGAGCTCCAGATCCGGTATGCCTCCATGCTGCAGCCCAGAAGCTCCTCCTTTAGCCCCGCCCACTTGGCCTGCTCCGGGCTGACCTCGGCGGCAGCCTTGGATTTGCTCAGCTTCTTGCCCTGCCTGGGGGTCCCACTCACCGCCGCCTCCCTGGAGCTCTGTGTTCCCAGAATGCACTGCTTCAGGCTGGGGCAGAGCTGGCTCAGCGACTGGCACAATCTGGCCATGAACAGGACGGCGCCGAGGCGGGCCGGAGCCGGGTCCAGCTCAGAGCGTATGGAGAACAGGATGTGGCGAACGCAGGTGACGCAGCCTTCCCGCAGAGCCTCCTCCACCGCCGGGGAGTCCGTGTAGCGGTTAAAGGAGGAGGAGTCAGGAGGTCCGGAGGAGGAGCGGGAACCTGCTGAGCACAGAATCACAGATGGCGTCTGTTTAGCTAACATAGTTTCCTTTGGTGGAAATCACTCCTTGATTTTAACGTCTGCAGATTTTGCCCTAAGATGGAGAACCTAGACTTCTAAATGTGATTGTTGCTGCATTTGGTTCTGGAGCTTCTGCAGATAAACCAGGAGTCCAGGCCTCCAGTGCTGAAGATTTATGAACAAACAGCTGGATCATAGAGTGGTTCCTCAGCATGGCGGCTGATCTCCATGATGGGAGGCAGAGGATGGGAGCAGCTATCGATACAGCGCTACCATCAGCAGTCAATCATCTAAAGCGCAGAATAGAGGAACATGCACTTTCTGAACACTGAGTGATTGAATAATTCTACGCACTTTTCAGTTTCAGACTTTTTTCTGTAACATCTGCTGAGAATTATTTTAGTTTGTTAA